TAATCCTAATTGGTCCAAAACAATTAGAATTTGATAATAGTGATCCATACACAACACTTAGACCACATCACACAATTTAACGTCCATGGGTATTTCCGTCATTTCACATCATTAGGAATAAAATAATACACATCTCCGGGATGGGCTGTGACACTGTCGGTTATAACCGACATGATTTTTTTGATATCCGCCATTAAATATCCGCCAGTAATTTATGTCGGATATAACCGACATGATTTTTCTAATATCCACCACTAATTAAATGATGCGTCAGATATAATTTATCTGATAGAATTTTTCTAATATCCGCCACCTTCATCCGCCACCTAAAGCCAATATTGTAGTAGTGAATATCTTTTGTTTGAAAAAATAAAAACAAAAATTATTGACATTTCCATTATTTTTTTAAACAATTAAACATGTGTTAAAAATCATTGGACAAAATCAAATGGTTAGTACTCACTAGTGAATACATAAGATTATCCTTCAGTAGTGAGTACTCAAGTATAATTTTTTTCTTTTTTTAAATATAAATTAGTTTCATATTGAATTCCTAGGGAGATGAAAATTTAAAAATGAAATAGACATTCGTTTTAAGATGTCCTAGTTTGGCTAACTCATCAAATGTCATATTAGCCTATCGCTAAATATGATAAAGACGTTAAACTCCTCTCGATAAATTACTCAAATATCTTCAGTGAGCATATGAACATATATATATATATATATATATATATATATATATCTCACACGAGAATTACTTCTTTAAGAATGTGATTTTTCAAGTTTTAAAGCATCTATGAATGTTTAGCTAAGCGACTCTAAACGATCTTAGTTGAAGTGCTTTTTGTTCATTTACATCCCTGTGCTTGACATGAACCTTTTCGACACGGCAATGTCATATTCTACAGCGAATTTCACATCTTCCATGTTCAATAATCTTCCCGCAATTGCATTTTTCATGGCCGTGATCTTTAGGTATGATTTATTACTCTTTGCCCTGGTCATACAGATACAAAATGCACAGTTTTTTTTTTTTTTCGGTAATCAGGAAATATCATAAACCATGCACAGTTTAAGCAGATGAATTTATGAGGGTTTTGCAGGATTGAGAAAGTGAACATTAGGAAACTTCATAGCCAAGCAAAGGTAGTGGGGCCTATAGTCACGGTTGGGAGAGCTATTATATTGACTCTGGTCAAAGGACCGGCAATTAATTTTTCCACGGATAAAGGGCAAAGGTCTAAACTATGATCATGATCAATTGCAATGTGATTCAAACCCTAATGACCTCATTAAGATTGCACTCGTTACTGCTGGATCTTGTTTCTTCTGGTCTTGTTTCATCATTCTGCAAGTAAGAAAGTCTCAAATCTACACCATATATAGATCACAATTCTTTTTTTCTTTCTAAAAATTGTTATCAGCACTTAAAAACACTTCTCATGTTTTTTTGTAGATATATAAGAGTGCAAAGATGATATTTTTTTTTTAATTATCAATAACAAATCTGTACATTTCTTGGTTGCCTAAGTAAAAAGTAACTAAAATTTGATGGTGAATTCTAATCAATGTATGCTTTTACACTAAGACCATACCCTTGTGAGCTCTCCCTCACAACTTTAACATGCTTTTGGGGTCTGGTTGAAGCCGCAATATTATTTGCCCTTTTCATGGAATGGGGAAACCCTAATCCAATCTGGTTTATACAATTTTACGTCAAACTTTTGGCTAACTTTTTATGTGGTAGGAAATCTTTTATTCAACATTTTTTTTATCAATAGATTATAATTTATACTCACAGAAGTGGCTTTGCCGCAGGCAATACTCTCTGGGGTTATTATTATATCATGGGAGTGGTAAACAAAGAAAAGGGACCTCTTTACAATTCTTCTTTTAACCCCTTAGGGACAGTAACTGTTGCAATTATGGGTTCCCTTGCTTTAGCTACGCACATGTATGGAAGGTATATGCAGTAACAAAAAAAAATTCAGCTTCATTTGCCTAGTGAGAATTTGGAAATAATTTCTTACTGTTATCTTTTGCAGTATTCTTGGAGCCATAGGATGGGGAAGAAGAAAGATAAACCTCCATATCAGTCATCAAAATGTCAGAATCAAGCACCAGATGATGAAGAGATGACCACAAATCGGCAACAAATGGGAGGATGAAAAGTCCAGATTAGGGGAAATCACTCTCTTTCGCTTAAGTGTTTACGTAGAATCCATCGAATCCTAGGGGCTTGGATTGAAGAAACCCCTCACAGTTTTGGTAACTAAAATAGGTGCTTTGAATTGTTGAAGAGTTCAAACGAGGAAAATTCAATACGGAATTTGTTATTTTAAACTCTCTCATAGAAATTTGAAAATAACACTTATTTACATGAAAATTAAATTTGGGAATTGGAGGTCTCAAATTCCAATTTTTTTTCCACATATAAATTCTAAATTTCTATGTTTATGGATCCAAACAAAAGAATTAGTACATGTCACTTTATAAATTCTAACAAATTCTAAGTTTATTTCACTCATCCAAACATAATGTAACATTTATTGTTGTATTTTAGTCCATTTGCAGCCTATTTATAAGGAGCTGAGACCAATCCATATCAGGAGCCCTCTCGGTTCCAGCATTGCTAACAATTCATTTCAACATAAGTTGACCTACTCATCTCAAAACCCTGTCACAATTATGTGTTGAGAAATGCTAATGAGACTCTTCTAAAAGTGAGATTCTTCGTGAACTCTCTGTCACCTCACAGTTTAACATTAATTTTGTGCTAACATTATAAAATATTGTACCAAAAACATAGGGTAGCAGATAGTCCATGAAGAGTCTCATTTTAAGAGATATCTCCTTAACATTTCTCTTACGTGTTTATCTTTTCACTACATAAAAACTGATATTTTTGATTCATCAATTTCATTGGCATTAACGTCCCAGTTTTACATGAAAGAATCATGGACTCAATCATGCACATATTGGGTTTGATATATACAGTAAGGGTAATGCTAGAGATAGATATATTAAATTTGTAGATAAAATTTGCAAACTGAAATAAACACATTTATCAACACTTAAGTAATAATTCAATCATCAACTTCCATGTCATTTAGTTTACAAAATTTAGTTTACAAATTTAATTTCCCTAACATTACCCTAAAGTAATACCAAGTAATTTTCACTTATGGGATGTTTGCCATGTATTCTTTTTCCATTACCAATTTCAGTGGCTGGTCCACTCTTCTGATATCTTTCAGTGGTGGAAATCTTGCTGGATATGTGGTTGTCTTCCCTCTTCAAGCTGAACTTGGGTACAAAGGAGAGTAAATCCCGGTTTCTATGATTGGTGGCCTTCTCTTCTGGGTTTATTTGGAAGGCTAGATGTAAGATCCCACATCGCCCAGGGGAGTGATCCTTAAATGTATATTCTCATCCCTACCTAGCACGAGGCATTCTGGGAGCTCACTGGCTTCGGGTTCCGTAGGAACTCTGAAGTTAAGCGAGAGGGTGGCTAGAGCACTCCCATGATGGGTGACCCACTAGGAAGTTGCTCGTGAGTTCCCAGAAACAAAACAGTGAGGGCGTGGTCGGGGCCCAAAGCGGACAATATAGTGCTACGGTGGTGGAGCGGGCTCGGGAAGTGGTCCGCCCCGGGTCAGGATATGACAAATTGGTATCAGAGTCTAACCATGGCCGTGGTGTGCCGACGAGGTCGTCGGGCCCCTTAAGGGGGGTGGATTGTAAGATCCCACATCGCCCAGGGAAGTGATCCTTAAATGTATATTCCTATCGCTACCTAGCACGAGGCCTTTTTGGAGCTCACTAACTTCAGGTTCCGTAGGAACTCCGAAGTTAAGCGAGAGGGTGGCTAGAGCACTCCCATGATGGGTGACCCACTAGGAAGTTGCTCGTGAGTTCCCAGAAACAAAATCGTGAGGGCGTGGTCGGGGCCCAAAATGGACAATATCGTGCTACAATGGTGGAGCGGGCTTGGGAAGTGGTCCGCCCCTGGCCGGGATATGACACTAGATGTAATGTTGTGTTTAAATGTAGGGATCCATCCCCTTCTCAAACCATACATGCTTTGACTTATGCGTGGGATGCATTTTCTGTTGCTACATTTATGGATAGAATGGGCAGCCTTCCGAGCCCTTCCATTCCTGATCAGTTGACCCTGTGGTTTCCCCCTCCCAATCCCGTGACAAAGATCAATGTAGATGCGAGCTGGAAGATTGGTTCGTCTATGGCTTGGCTGGGTTTAGTTGTGCAGGACTTTGGTTCCAGGTGTATAGCGGTTAAAATGGCGCATGTTTTGGCTTCTGATGCAACTGTTGCCGAATCCTTGGCAATTTTGGAGGGGTGCCGCTTGGCACAAGAATTGAATCTTGCTCAAGTGGTGATTGAGTCGGATTCGAAGAATGTCATCACTTGTTTGAAAAATTGCTCGATGAGTTGTGCTTGGGAAATCTTCCCAATCCTCAGTCGAATTCGTGTGGTGGGGAAGACTTTCCAATCCTGCTCCTGGTCTTAGGTTCCAAGATCAGCAAATGCTGCGGCGGACTTCGTTGCTTCAAACTTCACACCGGAGATGCGTGACTTGGCTTGGGTTGAAAGACCCCCATCTTCTTTTGTGAGAATTCTGAACAAGGATGGTCTTCCTTACCCCCCCCCCTGTTGTGTAGCTTTTGTCTTGTTTTATGGGATGACGTTTGCCATTTGTGGCTACGTCTGTGTGTAATCACGTGTTGTCGATGCTTGTACTATCTCTTTGTCAGCCTCCGTTGGCTTTCATTGTTCTTGCTGGCCGTTGTGTCTTGGCTAATCCCAGTTTCTGTTCAAAAAAAATTAAATAAAATAAAATCTTGCTGGACTCGCTTTTGAGCGAGTCGAGAGTCTTTTCAATGCACTCCATCAAGATATATATATATTTTTTTACATATAGCATCACAACCTCCAAAACCAATGGATTTTTGTTTTGTTTTGGGCACACACAACCAAAACAACCAAGCAACAGAAAATCCGACGATATAACCTTAGGGAAGATGTCCTGAAACAGACCAAGCACAAAAAGCACCCCCCAAGTATTCTCGACAACATTACGCAACCTTAAATGTAAAATCACTAGGCCTTATATATAAAAACCACACACCGGCCACAATAAGGACAACTAAGGTTCTTAAAAGTGATATTTTCAACAAGTCGGACATAATAAATCCTTGCATCTAACACCAAGGAAGCCGTGAAGATGACTTGCCAGAGAATCAGGCACTACCCGACCGCGCCGGACTGGGTGATTCTGACCTTGACCTTGATATTGATCTTGGCCTGGAAGATTTAACAGGAATGCTCTCCATCACGATATACTTAATTAAATTTTGGCTTTGCATGGAATTTGTTCCAGATTGAAAATTCAAATTGCAAGTAGTTATTATAGTATTTTGCTCTTCCTCCTCCAGATAAATATATCAACTTCTAATTAGTGACATCAATAGCCACAAATATCTGAAATCAGTGCCTTCTCTATGAATAATGTAGATTTTGTTAAACATTTGTAGCCAATTCCCTTTTATCATCTTTTTCTAATTCGGATGGAAGTTGATCCTTGCTTTTCCCCCATAGAACCATATAGAGGCCAATCACAATGACCATTGCTCCAATTACTCTGCAAAATAAATAAATAATCCCTTGTTAGCCGTTGTCCCGTTGTTTTTTTTCTTGGCAAATATGCGCAAATAAAATTACGAACTTTAAGTCAAAATATAGAACGGGATGGACAAGAACCAGACAATAAGCATTAAAATGTGATTTATATACTGCTTAATTATTGTATTTTAGTGTTCCTTGATACTATTTTCTTTTTCTGTATTTTTGTTAGAAGCTAAATAAATCCAAGGTCCATGTTCCTGCATTTAATAGATAAGAGAGGTTGATGTAAATTTACCTTCCCAAGTACATGATCTCAGCTAATATGAAGGAGCTCATAACGGCTGTAATAATCATGCTTAGAGGACTAAAAGCAGTCACAAAAACAGGTCCTCTTTCCTTCATTACCATTCCCTGAATGTAATAAGCGATCCCTGAACACATTATTCCCTGCATCATGACATCTCTTCAGCTGTAAATATATAACTAGTAAAGTATACGTATGTATATACAACAAGATTTTTAACCAGAAAAATTGGGGTTAGTTAAGAAGTTCTTACACTGTAAACAGCAGCTAACAGCTTATAATCAAAGTGTATGGACCAAGCTATAGGGTTATTCCATTCGAAAGCTAGGGCCGCCGCAGTTCCTTGAACCGTGCCCACCAAGCATATCCAAGTTGTTAGGGACAGCTCAGCAGGGTATGATTTTAGAGTAATCGCCTATATATGAAATCCATAATTAGTATGACAATGAGGGTGATAATTATGTATTAATCCAGCTCGTGACTTGGGTACGTAGATCAGGGTTGTTACTTGCATGTTACCCCAAGTAAAGATACCAACTCTCCACCAACTAATACCTTTTTCTAATTCCGGAAGAGGTTTCAAGTTTGAATATTCTCTCTCCGTTAATTTAAAAATTAAAAAAAATTAAAAAAAGTTGCACGAGACATTAGGGATTTACTTGGAGAATCATGAAACAAGACCAGCAGAAACATCCAGCTGCAAGCATGATACCTCCCTTTATGGGATCCTGATGAACTGTGGAAACTGTAGATTCTTGATGGATATTTCTTCTTGTCCACGGAAAATTCAACATGGGTCCATTAATTAGAGTCATAAGCATGGCTCCTCCCACAGTCACTATCGTCCCCAATATCATTGCCAGGCTATGCAGGCTTCTCAAATTAATCTTCTCAAACCTAGTCAAAGTAAATAATTTAAATCCACATTTTCATGAACCATGCAAAAAAATTAAGAACCATGCAAAAAAATTAACTAGCACATTTTCATGATATATATATATACCTGAAAATCCAAGCCATTATGAAAGCAAAAGCAGGAAGAACATTGCACATGGCAGATGTAAAAGTTGCTGTTGTAAGCTTCATCCCGGTATAGAACAGGTTCTGGTCAATTACAGGCCTAATAATAATTAAGAGTAGAGATCACTTGATTAGTTCGGTTCTCCCATATGTTCATAAGAAAAACAGTACTACTTAACTAAAACTTTTTTTCAAAGTTATAGTAAGCTGAAAAATGTGTGACTTAATTAGTTGTCACGGTACTTAACTCTAATAGGCCAAGCAACACAATCTTGGTGAAAATAGATAAGGTCATCTTTGGCCTTACATTCCTGCAATAGAATCAAGTTCATTGGATTAATTTTCTTCATCTCTCAACACTACGCCAGATGCAAAAAAAAAAAATTACGACATACAGGAAGGTGACAGAGAGATGCACCTATCAAAGATAATGGCAAAAGGAGCTATAAAAACAGTGGCCACAGCATGCCGATAGACTACCAAGACATGCGGGCTCATCCCATGGTTTAGAGCAAACTTTGAAATTAAGGACATCCCTGCGAACCCAATTTGCATGAAGGTGACAGCCATGAACGGCACCGCCCGATTGAGCATCTGAGCCATATTGGAGCGCTTAGACATGTTGATCTTGTTCTAAAACTAATAAGCGTCTGACGTGAAAAGTTAGCAAGTGATCGATGATCAGTGATGAGAAAAAATGGAGGGATGATCAGTGATGAGAGAAAATGGAGAAGCTGCAGTTACTTATAGGCATAGTAAATTATGTGCGTCTCAATCTTGAATATTCTATGGAGTCCACTAAGGTGATCTGAAAGAGTAACATTTGTGAAGAGAACCAATTTCACCAAATTAAGCATCAAAACCAGTAGTGCCTCTTTTCCACATATCGAGTATTATCCTGCATTACCATATGATTCATATCTGATTAAGCAAGCAGTAAATAGATCACTGTTTCAAGTGATCAAGACAAATGTTGGCTTAAAAGGACGTCACTGTCATATCACAAAAGTGTATTGAGAGGAAGAGGTGCTGAAAATGGAGTTTAGTTTAATTGCCAACTAGGGTTAGGTCTTGGTGGTAGTTGTCTCCACTTGTTAAAAAAAAAAAAGACTTTGAATGCGGTCCTTAACTATGAATATTCTTTGATTGAAACCTTGCTGGTTTTTAATTTTTTATTGAGTTCCCTGAAATCAATGTGATAATTTATTTCTATGTATGTTACTATATTTTTTAATTTAAAAATTAGAAATTTTAGTTGTTTATATAAATGAGATTTTAAATTAAAAAAAATCATAATTTGTGGGATTAAAAATATTAATATATAAACATACTAGCTGGAGTCACCTCACGTACAGCTGAATCAATAGCTCATCATATACTAGCTGGAGTCACCTCACGTGACCTGTACGGCTGAATCAATAGCTCATCATATACTAGCCGGAGTCACCTCACGTGAACTGTACGGCTGAATCACTAGCTCATCATATACTCCTGCACACGAGTCGGAACTACCTCTAGTGGTCTGTACGACAGGACTGAGTGTACATAAGTACGCTCAAGTGCTACGATTACGTGAAGACTGTGCGAATAATCGAGGGTCACCTACGAGTCAGAACCACCTTAAGTGGTATGTACAACACGACTGTGCACCTACCTTGGATCCAAGGCGAGTGTAAGGTGCGGAAGGTGAACTCTAACTGCATCTAACATAACATGTACGACTCATGGGCAACATGCACGACAAGGTCGGAGTTGCCTATTATTGCAGCCTGTACGACAATGTCGAAGTTGCCTAAAACATAAATGTAGCCATGCCATAACTCTATCATTTTAACTAATACCATAAACTCACTTGAACTTACCTATGCGTCATGCGTTCCTCTTCGCACTTCATAGCATTCACAGTAATTATGTGCTGATAATATACATATGGATATGCCATGATGCAATCTAAAACTCACTCATACCATAGTATTTTCAATTATATATAAATATATATAATATGGCGTAAAATGCACAATCTATAACGCTCTACTCCTGAATTATTTACTTTCGGGAATAATAATCGGTGATAAGCCCAACTAGACCCTAATTTAGTTAACCAGCATTACTTACGTTTCCTTACTTCAATTCCTTGATTCCTCACGTATTGATTTATGACCAACATTTAACCACCAACTCATAAGGTTAGATCTCACATTTTCCACTAATATCCTTCACATTGTTCAATTCCCCAAACAAGGCTTTGCCTCGATTATTTAATCTCATTTATTATATGGCTGCATCTAACGTCTCGTTAGACTGCCTACGTACCCTAAACAGGGATCAAGCCATTTGTAGTTCGCAGTAATCCTCTAAAGCATTCACAGAAATTATATGAATATTCAATTGATAAATGTTTGCGGAGATGTCAATCTTATATATATATATACACGATAAAAGGGAAAAGACCTACTCACTTTAGGTCCGCACTACGAGTCCCTTGCACGAATATCGAGACATCACGAACTATCGTCGATTGTGACCAATAATCAAATCACGTCTCAAAGTTCTTACCGATAGATTAAATAATTTACATAAAACATATTCTCAAGGACCTTCTAGAATAATTTGAGACCCATTGACCAAAAGTCATCGACGGTCGGGTCCACAACCCTGCAAAACTTGATCCGGAATATCCGCATCTCAGGTTTCCAATCCGTAACTTCTCATGATACACAATATGCTTCTAGAACAACATACTTAAGTTTCATTCCGATCCAACGGTTGGATTTCCGCTAATTTCCAAAACTGATTAGCGGTTAACGTTTTCTTTTATGAACTTACAAATCCAATTTAGAAAGATCCGTACGTCAGATTCCCAATCTGTAAGTTCCTACATTCGTCAAATATTATGTACTACAATGTAACAAAGTTTGGTGACGATCCAATGGTCGGATTGTCGATTCACATAAATACCTAATAACGTACGTAGAGAATTTAGGTTCCAACGATCAAACTACGTCATTCAAATATCAAAACTGAATTCAATATATTTAACATAGCCTTAAAATATCATTGGCGGTCCACTGGCCACGCGCCGCCGTGGGTGGTAGTCGGCCGCCCCAACTCGTCGGAAAATCCAACTATTACCAAAAATTACCAAATTTCACAGACATGAAGATTTTAGTGAGTAGAGAAAATTTTATACCTGCGACCAAGTCCAATTTGGCCTAGAAATGCCCCAATTTAGCTAAAATCCATCGGAACCCTAAGTGTGGGTGTGCTTCGATTCTTCCTCCTCGATGATCTGCCGCCCCTACAACTGATCGGGCTTTGTTCCATACCTCAAGGGAAGTCTAATGGTGGTAGAAATGGGTGTGATTAGTTTCAGATTTAGGTAAACTAAACCCAAATCCGCCGCACTCCACCGTGCGGGTTCTCCAAATTTTAAAGCCAAAACCCTTGATTTTTGAGGTGTAATAGGAAGAGGGAAGGGCTAGATGGTGTTTGGGAGTGGTGGCTGGGTCCATTTCGTGAAAAAATCCGATGGAAAATCATTGGAAATTATGGTGGAAACGGGTCGGGGGTTGTGGGTCGAAAACGGGTCAAGGGGAAGGAGGTCATGGTTGGGTGTCACTCACATTTCTCCTTTCCTTTCATGATCTCTCCCTGATTCGTTCCTCACCTCCCTCTCTCCTTTCCGATTGGGTAGTGCCCATCTTCTTTCCCTCTCTCTCTCTCCGGTTCTCCCTCTTTTCCTTCTTCCCCGTAAACCCCCTTTTCTTTTCTTCCTCTTTTTTTTTTTTTTAACCACAACCATTACAATAATAACAATAATAATTCATACGCGTCATGAACTAGTGATCAACGAAAATCAATACCCTCGCCTCTAGGGTATTCTCGTAAATTCACATTTTAAAATTTATAAAATAATAAAATTAAGGACGGGTTGTCACATCAGTAGCATAGTTTTATTATAAGAACGCTCTCACGTTGTAAAAATATATTATGCACCACGTTGTTGTAAAAATCAAGTTATATTCTTAATCTTTCTTTTTTTTTTCTTTTTTTTTATGGAATTGGATCCCATCCGGATCCACTTTGTGGGGTTCTAAGAATTCTCACATCTTAACCATTCATCATGTATCGTACGGTAAAAAATCATTTGACTTTAAATTAAACACAAATAGTATCTGAAAAAAATTGACCGTACGATGTACGATAAACGGTTAGAATGTAAGGATCCCTAAGATCCCCACAAATTAGATCCGGAGAGGATCCTCTTCTTCTTCTTTTATCAGCTTGATCTTTCTTGATTAGTAGCACCCACATTTGCTGAAGTGACTTGAATGATGGGACCTTACCCCATGGGGTAAGATAAGAGAATCAAATTACAATTAGTCAGGTCAAAATTAATAATAAGATTAAATTATAATGTTAGCACAGTAAAATATGCATATGGTAGCAAATTCTCACTTTGTTATTTTGATTTTAGTAGTCCTTTGGATATATTTTTTTGTGGATAATTTATTCGATCATGTTAATCTCATTTTTTTTCTCTATCTTTTGATGACTGGTTATAAACTTTGAATCCACAAACTTGTAAATATAGTGGAAAATATAGAAGTTGTGAGTGGTCTTGTGCAGGCATATGTAATTGGAGAATAATTCTTCTCCAAAATCGAGCACAATGTGTAAATCAAAACTGCAGAGAGATGGAAAACAGGGGTGAATCTCATCACTGCCAGACTACCGAATTCTCAAATGACAATTGCGGCTTTTAGTGACATGTTCTGATTCTCCTTAATTATTCATCAGCTTAGAAACTTATTTTAAGAAAGTTTTAACGAAACACTCTCGATATTGTTTACTTTTAACGAAAAATGACATTTTACCTTTCCTGCTACTATTCACTTACACTTTTATTTGTCATTTTTCATTAAAACTAAAAGTTTTTTAGGACTCTTCATTAATTTTCCTTATTTTTAATTAATTAGCATATGCTTTTTTTACTTCAAAAAAAAAAGCGTCTTAATTAAGGTTCAGCTACAATTTTACGGCACAATGGTACAAAGTTTATATATAATAGTTTAGTTAAATATGATTTAGGGGTCTTTTGATTTTAGTGCAAGAAAATAATTGAAACATGGCCAAAAGCCAATTATGGAGCTCATTAGTGCAAGAAATTAGTGGCTCTGGATCAAGTAACTGGAGTAATAATATTATACTTTCTAGGCTTTTGGGAGCTCATTAGTGCAAGAAATTAGTGGCTCTGGATTACAGTAATTGGACTAATAATATTTTACTTTCTAGGCTTCATTATTTAGCTAAAAATGCTATCCATCTCAGACTTCCACATTTTTTTCCGTGTGCAATTTGATGATCAAAAGTTTAAACAAACCCTACATTTTAACTAATAATTTTAGAAACCACCAGGTCCATTATATAGGATTTGGATCCTGCAATTGGTCGGGATCCTCCTGACCGGTATTTTTGGGCAAGTGGTCGGGATCTTCCAGGAAGCACTTTAAGTGCATTTCTAGAATTTACTTGCATATTTACTAAAGCTTGGTTCTAAAAATATTTTCACTAAAAACGCTTTCAGTCATTTTAAAAGCACATCCAAATGAGCTATATGTCTCTTTGCCCTTAGTTTAAGACCTAGTTTGGGAGTGAGGTGCTTAAAAAAAAAGCACCTATGAAAAAAAGCTGTGAGGGTTTTAGGTGTTTGGTAAACTGAAAAAAAAGGGCTTATTTTGGAAGCTGCTATGAGAATAAGCTGAAATCAAAGGAAAAAGCTGAAGCTGCTATTTGCAGCTTTGGAAAACTGGCTTTTTTTCAAAGCACACAGAGCTACAATGCTTCTTTAATGAAAAGACCCACTATTAGACTGCTTTTTTTTTTTCGAAAAGCACTTTTACAAAAAAGTTACCAAACACTCTGCTGATTTATTTCACAGCCGCTTATTCTCACAGCACAGCTGCTTATTCTCACAGCAGCTTTTTTTCAAAGCACAGCAATACTAAACCAACCCTAAGTTAGAATATTATATAAAAGCCCTTAGTTTAAGTTGGGCTATTATATAAAAGTGCTTTTCACTTTAAAAACCCACGTCATGCAGCATCAGCCTTTTGGAGCTTTAATAAAAAAAGATTTAGACTAAGTTTATTTTAACTAAAAATTATTTTATAACTTTATTTAATGAAAATGATTTTAAACTTTAGTAAATGATTTAAATTTTAATAAAAATAACAAAAGTTCAATATAATAAAAAATAAAATAAAATAAAAATTAATAGAAAAATTAACGAGCACCAACCATATTTATGAAACTGAACACTATTTATAAAAATTGAACATTAATTATTTCTGAAACTAAACACAAGTACTAAACTATTTTATGAAATAAACACTAACTATTCCTGAAACTGATTATTTCTAAAACTAAACACGGATATCACACTATTTCTAAAAGCTGAACACGGATATTACACTATTGGCGCCTACATAACTGGTTGCTTGCTTACCAGGCCATGATCCTGGCAATCTCACTGAAAACTAAACACGGGTGATGCCAATCCCATATGTTCTTAGAGACCAGACGGGGAGTGATTCCTCAGGATATGTCAAATAAACTTTGCCCACCGAAATTCGCCTCCTTGTTGGATTGACAATACCATCCATACAACAACTGCAACTCTCTCTTCTCCACCTGAACAAAAAATTGAGTTCTAAAAGCCATAATGCCTGACCGAGTGTTCCAACATATCGTGACTGGGGTGCACCATTTCCTTCACTCGGCTACCATTTTTGTAAATCTTGAATGTTGGTACAATAAGTATAAAAAAATTGTTGTACTTTAGTAGGAATCACAGTCGCATGCAAACTTCAATCAAACTAGTATATGATAAACAGCACTCAGCACCTTTACTGTCAGGAAATTTATGGATGGGTAGCGACCACAACGCGTGTCCAGAAAAGGTGATATTTGCTTGCATTGCAAATCAGAGGCAGCTTTGAAATGGACCGCGGAGACACCTGCAAATGAAAATTTTTAGGCGCTTTTGCAATGATGCAAGTTTTAAAACTACAAGGTGACAGAAGTGTAGATGTAGCAGAAGGGACAGCCGGCATTAACAACAGAATAATTGCGAAAAGCATTACAGGAAGAGGAAATCAAGTGTAGACAAGTGGAGGTTGATAAGAAAGGCTCATGCTGTTGCCAACTCCACTAGTAGTTGCCTGCACTGCAGGAGAAATACCTTACTCATGAAAGCTTTCACGTACGATCTTTTGTTGTGTCACTTCCTATCTCTTTCATCACATGGCAAATACATGACAAGAGAGATTAAGAGAGAACTGTCACGTAATAACAGAAATGGAGAAAAAGGAGACGAAACAAGATAACTTAGGTTAGTTTGTTTTTAGGCTATACTTTTGATTTTTGCCGAATCGGAAAAATTTGGTGCTATCATATAGCTTTGTATCGCTAAATTCGCGAGTTGGAGATAAGCGGACTCGAACCGTTGACATCCGCCACAGGGTAAACTACCACCTCTTTGACGGCCAACGATAGACAATAACTCCCCAAACCCCAACCCCGAACACAACTTACAACTTTCGTCATATATTTTTGGTAGACATGACTGATGAATTAAAATTTATACAGTTCAGATAGTTGAAAAAATTACAAAGTAGGCCATACAAAATGTGCGACAAACAATGAAGACTAAAAGTTTAACGAATTGAATACAAATATGCCCTATAAATTCTCTCGTTAACCTTCCCCTTAGTTATTTTTTTTCCTTAACCATGCTTAATTTTGAGCAATATACTCAAGAGTCATTTGCAATCAAATTCTTGTTGTGGTGTTGAGATACATGCCGCCGGAGATATCAGTTTAACGAAATTCAAGGAGTGGAAAGGACGAGACAAAAACCTTCCAAGTAGTATAATCATGCTTAACCAAATACATAACGGGAAATAACAATGAATATCCGAAAGATAATCATCCGGAATGGCCAAAGTCTAACCAACCTTGTGTCGTTGATGATAAAGCAGATTGACCTTGTTCTCAAAACACGAGCATTAAACAAAGAAGCAAAAAATCTTAATGTCTGAGAGGCGCTGCTTCAGCTGTGAGATTCAATTGGCTCCTTCTGTACCGCTTTCTGTACAATCTCACTTTGTTCCTTCAAATGAACCGAATAGAAACCAGTGGCTGATGCAGCTGATGGAGCACGGCCAATATATTTGATGTCGTCGATAGTTCCTCTACCCAGGGACTTCATGGCAGTGCTAAGGCGGGGTGCAATATAGCTGTAGGCACCCATGTTCATTGGCTCTTCCTGGACCCAAACTATCTCAGCATCTGCAGGAACCAAATAACGAATGTGTCAACCTCATGATGTCAGCTAAATTGAGCTCCCAGAAAAGAAAACAATACTATTCACCCTGAGCCTCGTAAACATTATATATATCACCAGAATGTTTCGACATTCCATTAATCCTTATTTACAGACTACATACTTGGATATCGCTTCAGCTCTCGCTGGATAAGGTCATACGGGAAGGGGCAAAGCTGTTCCACTCTACAAATTGCAACATCCTTTGCTTCAACCTTTCTTCGCTGTTCATCAAGCTCATAATAAACCTGCAAGGGAATACAGGATAGAAGATGGAATTAAAATTTGTCCCTTGGACCAGGTTAATGATACAAAATTACAAATCATAATTATCTACAAGTCAACATATGATATACTTCTGTCAGGTTTTGCATTTCATACTCCAAGGTCTGCCGAATTGATTTATATAATGGTAAAACTATAATGCAATTAGAAGTCAAACAACATGTACACGTATGCATCTGTGTGTTTAAATGTTTATAAACAGAGGAAAATTAGGAATAATATACCTTGCCAGAGCACAGAACCAGCCGTCTAATACCCTCCTCAAGATCAGAGTGGTGATTCTGGTCCTTGATGAGTCGCTTAAATCTAGTCCCCTGCTTGTCAAAACCTGGGTGGCCTTGCACATCATCAAACTCAGATAAATTTGATTTGCAGTCCTTGTGCCGTAGAAGGTTTTAGGAGCCATAACAATAAGAGGCTTGCGGAATTCCCTGTGTATCTGAGAAATGAGACAAGGTTAGAACATCCAGAAACTTTCACAATACTGGATAATATATTTTCTTTTCATCAAAACGTTAGAACAGGCAGAAACTAGTCACAATGCTGGAAAATACTGAAACAAAATATTTCCACTCACCTGACGACGCAGTACATGGAAGTAGTTGGCAGGAGTTGTCACATTCACAACCTGCCAATTGCATTCCTGAATTTGCTTTCGAAGTGTGGGATCCATCTCAGGTATGACAAAAGGATTGTCATCACTCATCTGCACAAACATTCGTGAACACGTATTAGATCAGGATGCATGCCTGACACTACTATTGTCTAAAGGAAAAGAGAAATAAGGGGGAAGGAGTGAACCATATTTGACAAAGGAATACCTGAAGAAATCGCTCTAGGCGGGCACTAGAATGTTCAGGGCCCTGGCCATCGTAACCATGAGGAAGCAGCACAACAAGCCCAGTTTGACGAAGCCACTTGGACTCCCCACTACTCAAAAACTGATCAAAGATAACATGAGCTCCATTGGCAAAATCACCAAATTGAGCTTCCCAAATCACTAATGCATTTGGACTCTCCATCGAGTAACCCAATTCAAATCCAAGAACACCAAACTCTGAGAGTGAGCTGTACACACAAAGACAATTAGATGACAAATTAAAAACGTATTATTCAGTGTATCACAAGTCATGGTATGACAAAAGGGTAAAACCATTTGTCTACATTATTCAGGGTATCACAAGTCATGGTAGTCCAGCAATCTTAAAATCTTTAAGATGGAGTACAGCAAGTATATATTCTAGCAGGAACAAAAAGGTAAAACTATTTGTCAACATTAATCTCTCATTAGCATAATATGAGGAAGAAAAATAAACCATAGAGATGTGAGAAATGCTCATGAACAAGAGAAGTAAACCATGGCGTAATGAATAAAGCATGTATATCAAATAGATTGCTGGGAACACAAATAGCCCCTAAAGAGGGTCTGTCACAAATGTAGACATCGAAATACAACAAAATTATGGCCAAATGCCACCATTTCTTCTTTAGATTATATACTAAAAGGGAATGCAGCTGAATCCTAAAATTCTGGGTCACTACGTTACAGCACAAAAAAACACTGGACTAAACCTAACAGAAAACAAAAAAAAAAATGGTCAAAACCTTCTATGCACTTATGGAGATTTTAACAAAACTCTGTACCAAACCTAATCAAGCATTACCTGTTGCTAACTGTAAACATTTCCTCATCTTGGCCAGCCGTAATATGGTCAAGAGGACAATACTTTTCCCCAGTTTCCTGGTCGTGAAGAACAGAATGCCGATGACTAAAGGTACCTCTTTCAACATCCTGACCACTCAGTCGAACATGGTTACCTTCTACTAGTAGTGTGGCAAAGGCAAGTGCTTCAGCAACTGCCCAATCAATCCCTTCACCAGTCTCAATCATTTGTCCACGTTGTTCATACACCTTCTTTACTGCTCTGTGAGGTTTAAAAGTTTCTGGAAGGGCAGTGACAGCTTTGCCAACACTCTTCAAAATCTCTGGTTTTACCCTGCACAGGAGCATAAAGAATTCATTAAAAAATACAATCAGATATTGCAAAGAACAGATGAAACTGATATAAGACAGTGTTATACCCAGTATTCCGGATACGAGAAATCTGCTCAGGTGACTTAAATCCAGACCAATGAGATGAAAGCCAGTCCCTTCTTTGAGGAACATAATCCTTGCTAGACAAGAACTCTTCATTGAGAATTGAATTAACCTTGTTTTGTATCCTTTCAATGTCTTCTTTGGTCACTTGTCCAGACTCTAGAAGTTTGTTCTGGTAGATTGTTAGAGCTGAGGGATGATTCCGAATAACCTGTGTACCCAGAATTAGGTAGAAAAATCAGGAGTGCTTTGCACATCTCAATAGCTGCACTTTATAACAATGCAAGACACAATAAAGAAAGAACTTTGAGACTTATCATGAGCATAAGATACAAATTTCTTCAATAAATGAACAAAATAAAAATATTAATTAACTGGAAACAAGGTCTAACCTTGTACATATTGGGCTGTGTGAAAGATGGCTCGTCAATCTCATTATGCCCAAATCGACGATAGCACACTAAATCCACCACAACATCAGAATGGAAAGTCTGGCGCCATTCAGCGGCAAGCTCACAGACATGAACGACTGCCTCCATGTCATCACCATTTACATGGAAAATCGGGGCATTCAATGCTTTGGCAACATCAGTACAATACTGAGAAGATCTTCCCGACATTGGGTCAGTTGTGAAGGCAACTTGGTTGTTCACCACAATGTGTATAGTCCCACCAGTGGTGTAGTTAGGAAGAGCACTCAAATGCAGAGTCTCATAGACCACACCTTGTCCAGCAAAGCTACCGTCTCCATGAATCAAAATGCCCATATTCTTGGTCCTGTCCGCATCATTTGAATAATACTGCTTTGCTCTAGTTTTTCCGACAACGACAGGGTCCACAGCTTCCAAGTGACTTGGATTTGCAACCAAAGATAAATGAATTCTCTTCCCACCTCTTGTGGGTCGATCATAAGAGGTTCCCAAGTGATACTTGACATCACCAGTCCCAGTGTAAAGCCCAACTTCATCCACAGGCTTTGTACCACCACTAAATTCACTAAATATCTGACGCAAAGGCTTCCGCACCACATTACCCAATACATTCAGTCTGCCTCTGTGAGGCATTCCAATTACTATGCTCTCAACCCCGAGATCAGCAGCCCTATCAAACATCTCCTTCATGCCCGGAATAAGAGTTTCTCCACCTTCAAGTCCGAACCTCTTTGCTGTTGTCCACTTAGTAGCCAAGAAGTTCTCAAACTGTGTACTCCAAATAAGCCTATCAAGAATAACCTCACGGCGCTGCCTATTGTATTGCATGGGCGTAGGAGTCTCAATCTTGTCTCTCAACCAGTTACATCTCTCACGATCTGCAATGTGCATATACTCATACCCAATGGTCCCACAGTAAGCCTGCTCAAGCCGGGTCAAAATGGACCTAAGGGTCTGCACAGGACGGTTCTCAGACAAAAACCCAGCCATCCTCCAGACCCCCAAAAAGAACTCCCTGTCGAGATCAGACTCAGTGAACCCATAGAGCAGGGTCCAAATCATCTGGGATATCTCTCTCCTCCAAACCCAAAGGGTCCAATTTAGCCTTCATGTGGCCATTAACCTGGTATGCCCTCACAAGCAACAACAAGCGCATACTCTCTTGAATGGTCTGCCCCGAAATTCCGGGAGAGGTAGAGGCCTGCCCCACAAAATTCCTAAAGAAATTGTCCCACGACTCATCGACGCTATTGGGATCAGCTTCCCAAGCCCTCTGAAGCCCCTCCAGATAAACACTACTGGTTCCATCCAAGAAACTATCAGTTAGCCTGGAGAGGGGTACAGGGCGTGGAACCGGGGCAGCCCTCGATTTAGATATTGTGGTGTGAAAATCTCGGCTTTGGGACGGAAGGACCCGCCTTCTAGCCGCATAGGATCCACTATTCGACAAACTTCTCCTAATGGCAAGCTTTGCCACACTAGACCCAGCTCGAAACCACGACATAGCTACCAACCCAATCTATCAATCACACAAACTTTATCCCAATTCTACACAAATTTTTCTTCCACTGCTCAAACCCCTCAATCATACAAAACCCTGTCCAATCCAATAAAAGACAAATAATAAATTAAATAATCATACCAATTATTGTACCTTAATCCACTCATAATACGTGTACGAGTTCATGAACTTGGAAGATAAAAATAAATAAATTAATTAACAGAAACCAATCAAGAACATATAACCAGTTTGATCTACAGAGAAACGAAACTGTTCCTTGAACTCAATGTTGGTGAACGAAACGTTGCGGTTCGTTTCGTTTGTCTCTACAGAAACGAGATTAAACTACCGAAAGATGCGAGCTTGGAATCGATGGAGATTAGGAATTTACCTGGAAGTGGGAGGGGAACTGAAAGCGAGAGGTGGAAGGAGGAAGAGAACGGAAAAGAACCCTAATTGCAGGGAAAGCCACGGTGACTTTTTTTAGCTTTTCTGGAACGCTACCTTTTATTTTCCATTTCCATTTATTTTCTTTCTTTTTTCGGTCGATTTGTCATAAATAAAACCAAGACAAATCTTACTTCCTGATTTTTTGAAAAAAAACAATTATTGTGGGTGGGTCGGGTAGAGATCCAAATCTGGCCCAATCCTAAGAGCAACTGGACGAGGTTTAGGATTTAGGGTTTACGGGTGATTGAGAGGGCGAGGAAAATCTTACGTATAACATTTAATTATTAAATTGAGAGGGCGTGGTACAAGTAAACTCGTTGTATGTAAATTTTGATGAAACGATAAATAAATAATCAAGATGTAAAAACAAATGAAGAGGTGCAATAGAACAGTAAGAGTACGAAAATCAATTTTGCAATAAATATAGGCTAACAATTGTTTTGGCCAACAAGCTATATTCTTGTTTGGTTGTATTTCAAAAAGCCATGGTGGTCTCGAAGTAGTTGCATAATTTAATGCAAAATTGCTTAGCTCCTTACAATTAGGCAAGTCATTTTTCCTTAACTGCAAATTAGAAGTTGACACATATATGATATATGTAGTTTGCCGGTAAGGAGGAAAGACAACTCACATGTAACGAGGCAAGTACATTCCATTCGATACTTTGAAACATATGTGCCAAGGAAAGGTTCATATTTCTTTATCTCTGTTTGCCAAAAGAAGAGAAATTTGTGAAGCATAACCTGTGGTGTGCATCAGCCCTCACATAAAAGGAGGCATATTTGATATATGATCGATCTTTTATTAAAATTTGGATCAACAAAAAAAAATCAGGAAAGGAGATTCAGACAGTGTTATAAGAGGATCAATAAGCGCGACGGGATTCAGTTGTGAGACTCATTTGGCTCCTACTGCATCGCTTTCTGCAAAATCTCGTTTTGTTCCATATCATGAACCTGAGAAAAACCAGTGGCTGTGGCAGCTGATGGATCACGGCCAATGTATTTGACACCGTCCATAGTTCCTCTGCCCAGGGACTTCATGGCAACACTAAGGCGGGGTGCAACATAGCTGCACGCACCCATGTTCATCGGCTCTTCCTGACACCAAACTATCTCAGCATCTGAAAGAACCAAATAACAAGTGTGTCAACCTCACGATGTCAGCAAAATTTATCCCCCATAACAGTGAACAACAAAAACCGTATCACCGGATTTCACAAAGCCACAGCTAGTACTATATGATCTTTTTCAACATTTCCCACTAATACGTGTTGATGTTTCATATATCTCCAAAAACATTGTTCAATCACAAGATGACCTGAAAAACTAAACCCCTTTCACAAGTAACAGTTGGACTCACACGACAATATGACCACACTTCATATTCTACAGCGTAGTTAGTTTAGAATCATTGAAATTTTTTTTTTTTTTGCCTTCTAACATTAATGATCTAAGTATTAGGACACAATAAAGGAATCCAATTTTCATAAACACTATAAAATAATATATCTTGGGAAACAGGCTAGTATCTTGACAAAGGGGAAGAGAGCAAGCTTGGGCTTCTCCATTAATCATATTGTATAGTACTTGCTTTTCAATGGAAAGTTCAAGGTACATACTTGGATATCGCTTCAGCTCTTGCTGGATGAGGTCGTAAGGGAAGGGGCAAAGCTGTTCCACCCTACGAATTGCAACATCCTTTGCTCCAACCTTTCTTCGCTCTCCATCAAGTTCATAATAAAGCTGCAAGAGAATACAGGGCAGAAGATAGAATTAACTTTTGTCCCTTGGTTCATGTAATAAGTCATAATTTATCTACAAGTCAACACAGAATTATATGATCTATTTCAGCCAGATTTCGCTTTTCATACTCCAAGCTCTACTGAATGGAAGAAAAGATTACTTTACTGGTAAAACTATACCTTGCCGGAGCACAGAACCACCCGTCTAATACCCTCCTCAAGATCAGAGTGGTGATTCTGGTCCTTGATGAGGTGCTTAAATCTGGTCCCCTGCTTGTCAAAGCCTGGGTGGCCTTGCACATCATCGAACTCGGATAAATTTGATTTCCAGTCCTTGTGCCGTAGAAGGTTTTTAGGAGCCATCACAATAAGAGGCCTGCGGAATTCCCTGTGTATCTGAAAAATGAGACAAGGTTAGAACATATAGAAACTTTCACAATACTATAAAATATTGAAGAAAAAATAGTTTCATTCACCTGACGACGTAGAACATGGAAGTAGTTTGCAGGAGTTGTCAAATTCACAACCTGCTAATTGCATTCCTGAATTTGCTTCCGATGTGTGGAATCCATCTCAGGTATGACAAAAGAATTGTCATCACTCATCTGTCATAAAATTAGAACTTTGCATTATATGTGGATCCATGCCATATGCTACTGCTGTCTAATGGGAAAAGGGGGAGAACAGGGAGGGGAAGGAATGGATTAACCGTATTTGACAAAGGAATACCTGTAGAAATCGTTCCAGTCGTACACTAGAATGTTCAGGGCCCTGGCCCATGTAACCATGAGGAAGCAACACAACAAGCCCAGTTTGACGAAGCCACTTGGACTCCCCACCACTCAAAAACTGATCAAATATAACTTGAGCTCCATTGGAAAAGTTGTCAAACCGTGCTTCCCAGATTACTAATGAGTTTGGACTTTCCATCAAATAACCCAATTCAAATCCAAGAACACCAAACTCCGAGAGTGAGCTGCACATAAAAGCACAATTAACTTGTGGTACAGACAAACTAAGTATGAAAATTGCAATTTAACAGAGTACTATTCATCGTCCCATGAGTCGTATGGTGGTATCTGGCAGTCCTACAGTCTTTACAAATGTTCTTTATTGGGAGGTATATATTCTAGGATCAGGAACAAAATGGGAAAGCTGATTTGGTACACCATGGAAAACCAAGTTTCAAAGAATCAAAAGACGTGGAATGCATTCATAGATGAGAGAAGTATCCTATGGTGTAATGAATTCAAAATGGATATTAAATAGAATGTCGTGCACGAAATAGCTATTGAAGAGGGTCTGTCAGACTCGTGGCTAAACACCACCTTAATTAGAGTATACAAGGGAAATCTAATAAATCTTACAAAAAGTTCTGTGTCACTACGTTAAAGAGGGGGGAGGGGGGGGGGGGCGGAACTCGAGAAATATGACAAAATCAAACCAAATAATAATGAAAGGGAAAACTTTAATCACTCATTACCTGTTGCTAACTGTAAACAGTTCATCATCTTGGTCCGCCATAATATTGCCAAGAGGGCAATACTTTTCTCCAGTCTCCTGGTCATGAACTACAGAATGACGATGACTAAATGTACCTCTTTCAACATCCTGACCACTCAGTCGAACATGATTACCTTCTACAACTAATGTAGCAAAGGCAAGTGCTTCCACAACTGCCCAATCAATTCCTTCACCAGTCTCAATCATTTGTGGCGTTGTTCATAGACCTTCTTTACTCCTTTGTGAGCCTTAAAAGTTTCTGGAAGGGCTGTGACTGATTTGCCAACACTCTTCAAAATCTCTGGTTTTACCCTGTACAGGAGCATATAAAATTCATTAAGTTGAATAAAATCAGATATTGCAAAGAACTGGTGAAACTGGTAGAAAAAAACGCTAACCCAGTATTCTGGATATGAGAAATTTGTTCAGGTGACTTAAATCCAGACCAATGGGATGCAAGCTAGTCTCTTTTTTGAGGAACATAATCCTTGCTAGCCAACAATTCTTCATTAAGAATTGAATTAACCTTGTTTTGTATCCTTTCAATGTCTTCTTTAGTCACTTGTGCAGATTCTAGAAGTTTGTTCTGGTAGACTGTCAGAGCTGGTGGATGATTTCGAATAACCTGTAACCCCTAATTAAGTAAAAATTCAGTAATCAGCTTTGCACATCTCAATAGCTGCACTATAATTCAATATTTACAACACAAGGGAAGTCAACTGCGAACAACTTTGAGATTTATCACAAGAAAAATATATATATTTATTTTCGATCAATTAAGGATATGAATTTTTAATGGATATGTAAGGGTCTAACCTTGTACATTTTCGGCTGCGTGAAAGATAGCTCATCCATCTCATTATGCCCAAATCGACAATAGCACACTATATCAATCACACATCAGAATGGAATGTCTGGCACCATTCAGCAGCAAGGTCGCAGACATGAACGACTGCCTCCATGTCATCAGCATTTACATGGAAAATAGGAGCATTCAATGCTTTGGCAACATCAGTACAGTACTCTGAAGATCTTCCAGACATTGGGTCAGTTGTGAAGGCAACTTGGTTACTCACAACAATGTGTATAGTCCCACCAGTGGTGTAGTTAGGAAGAACGCTTAGATGAAGAGTCTCTTACACCACACCTTGTCCAGCAAAGCTGCCATCTCCATGAATCAAGACACCCATGTTCTTGGTCCTGTCCGCGTCATTTGAATAAAACTGCTTTGCTCTAGTTTTTCCGACAACAGGGTCCACAGCTTTCAAGTGACTTGGATTTGCAACCAAAGATAAATGAAGTCTCTTGCCACCTCTAGTGGGTCTATCATAAGAGGTTCCCAAATGATACTTGACATCACCAGTCCCAGTGTATAGCCCATCTTCATCCACAGGCTTTGTACCACCACTGAATTCATTAAATATCTGACGCAAAGGCTTCCGCACCACATTACCCAATACATTCAGTCTCCCTCTGTGAGGCATTCCACTAACTATGCTCTCAACCCTGAGATCAGCAGCCCAGTCAAACATCTCCTTCATGCCGGGAATAAGAGTTTTTCCACCTTCAAGCCCAAACCTCTTAGCTGCTTTCCACTTAGTGGCCAAGAAGTTCTCAAACTGTGTACTCCACATAAGTCTATCAAGAATAACCTCACGACTCTGCCTATTGTACTGCATTGGCATCAAAGTCTCAATCTTGTCTCTCAACCAGTTACATCTATTACGATCGGCAATGTGCATATACTCATACCCAATGGTCCCACAATAAGCCTGCTCAAGCCGGGTCAATATGAACCTAAGGGTCTGCACGAGACGGTTCTCAGCCAAAAACCCAGACATCCTCCAGACCCCTA